AACTTGGAAATTAAATGCAAAATCAACCAAAGTGGATACTTGGATATTGCCCGGATTAAAACCGTACTTTTGGGATCACTTTAGGGCTATTAACCCATAGGTACCTTCCCCTAGTGCGCACTATAATGTAGGGAGCTCTCTATCTCCCATACTAGAACCAAGTCCTAGCCAAGTCATGTTCTTGATAATATCCCAAATTTTCAAAATCAACAAGTTGAGTAACAAATCACGATATGTGATAAAAACACAATAAAACTCTATGAATTTCATGACTAAATCATTAGATCAATAAGATAGAAATTAAGTAGACTAACTAGTTAATTTCCCTAGATTTCAACAGTTGTTCAAATGATTCCAATTTAATATATAACAAGAAGTAAGTTATGGCCATGCCATATATCAAGTTCAAATTGGAATACAAGCATGGTACAAATAAGTAGAATTAAAATTAATTTAAATTAATTAATTCTTAGATTTAAAAGCTCATTTAAATCATGTTAAATTAATATACAACAAAGATCAAGTCGTAGCCATGCCATACAGTAAGTTTAAAATGAGTTATATACAAATTACAATAAATCACTAATTTCTCAAATCGGTACAAGACATGCACACCATTTATAAATCACTATAAAAGCAATTAATTTACTTTGAAAATAATTTATAACACCCCCTACCTCACAAGAGGATTGTTTCTTTTGAATCCAAGGGAATCAAAGGAATTCAAGTTTTCCTTTTAGGGTTATAAAAAGGAAGATGAGGCAAGGCCTTTGTATTTCAAGCTTAATAGTCTAAGGTGAGTGGAAGGGTATCAAAAATGAAGTCTCTAAGCCAAGCTTTGCTCCAATGGCGGCTAAGTTAGGGTTCTTGAGAGAAAAAAGATGAAATGAAACAAAGGTGTAAACTCTAAGTTAAATGTGGTGGGATTCTCCACTCACTAGGTGCTCTTGTACTATTTCTCACACACACACAATGCAAGACTAAATGTGAGACCTGCACTTGTCATTAATCTAAGTAAACTTCCAAGACTTAATATTGAGCCTACACTTGTCAACCATCCATGCCAACAAGTGCTTTTATCCTAGGCCAACAAATGGGTGAATCTCCACCCTCTATGTGTCAAGAGATTAAGCCTTCAGGTGGTTCCTCCACAATGTCAACAAGTGGCACCTTAGGAATGTGACACTTGTTATATTTTTTCAAAAATTACAAAAAGGTCCTTTTTAAAAATATCTTTCAAATTAAATTGCAAAATGCTCCCTAAGATAAAAAATAAATACTTTTCATAATTACACTAAAATCACAAAAGTTAAGAAAATTACCAAAAAGTCATGCATCTATGCCCTTTACAAGAAAAGTAAACAACTAACATGCTTTTCTACGAAAGTAAAAATGTAGATATCATGAAAATTAAATATCATAGATATATGCAAAGCCGGAATCAAATTCGAGCACAAAAAGTGAGATTATGCAAAGAAAAATGATAAACGAGAAAAAGACGAAATAGAAAAAAAGACGAAAAAAGAAATTACCGAAAAAAAGAAGAAGAAGGAAAATGACCGGGTCATTACAGTTTTATTGACGTGGTTTATTGTACGGCTTATATAATTTATTTATGTTAAGTCTGTATGCTTAGGTGGACTTGATTGGTTTAAGTTTTGTATGTGTCGTATATAGTTTAGGTTAGGGTTTTACTTTATGAAGTTGTGGAAGCCGACGTATAATTTGGCTGGAATTAGAAGTAGGGTTAATAACAACCTATATATATAGAACAATATACGTCTGCTATGGTTGGAAAACCCTATTCACGTAGTAATGATTTGAGAGGCAAAACAGAGAGGGTCTTGAGAGATAAACAGAGAGGCTCAAAGAATTAATAAAGGGGGTTGCTCATGGGTTGAGCCAAGAAGCAACAGAGGAAGAGAACAGTGATCAGAGGGGGAGAACAGTCTTGGGGTTGCCGGAACTCAGAGACGGAGGTTTAGGTTTCAAAACTGAAACCAAAGGCAAGTTTCATTCTATCTCCTTCCTGTAAACTTGTTTTCTGTGCATTCTATATAGTCTCCAGGAATCTAATTTAATTTTAAAATGGATGTTTATGAATGATAGATAGGCTGAAAACTGTTTTACGTTTTTGTTACTGAAATAGCTTTTCTTGCATAAACTGTTTCGATTAAGTTTTAAACTTTTGTAAATTAATTCATAATGGAATGTGAGGAGTTCCTAGGATTGTTTGGATGTAAATTGGACCAAGAAGTTTAAAAATAATTGGGACAGAGACTTGGAACTTCGCCGGAAGCGAAGAAGACAAATGACGAAGCAGAGAGGGGCTCTCAGGGAAAGAGTGAATGGGATTAAATAAAATTATCATCATATCCTTTATTTTGTTAGGATTAAAAATAAAATAAAAAAATCAATAGCCACGTAAGAGAAGCTGCAGTGGCTCTTTAAAGCCCAATTTGGCGAGCAAATAGGCTCTTTAAGCCACAGCGGGCTCGCTTAATGTGAGCAGGCCCACCTGCGCTAGTGGGCTTGCTCATCGGCCCTGGCGAATTGGCCAGCGATCGCTAAATTTTTTTTAACAAAAAAATAAAGGGGGACTAAGGGCCTATTTGGCTGGCTCCTAATCCCCCCAAAACGGATTTTAATCATTTTATTGTCTATATTTTTTAAAAAAATTAGTAAACAAATAATATAGTACTTAGAAACTGTTTAGTTAATAAAAAAAATAATAAAAAAAAATGATAAAGTTTTTTTTTTTAGGACAATATAGTCTTTAGGCACTATTTGGGTCACCCCACCCCACCCCACCCCACCCCACCCCACCCTAATTAAACCTGCCAAATTAACTATTAAGACATTGTTTGGCTGACACAAACAGTGCCTTAACGGCTATAATTTTTGAAGAAAAAAATGTAAAAAAAAAAAAAAAATTAAATTAAAAAAAACTTTTCAACTCTATAAATACCCCCAACTCCTACCATCATCCAAACCACATCCAACCCATCTCTATTCTCTATTTTTTCAAGTTTCATTTATTTATTTGTCTATTTTAGCTTTTATTTATATTTTCTTCCAATTCTATGGATTCGAGATCACCATTCTACTACAACTCCCAACCAACCGATGAATATTTTCCATTTGACAAAAATAATATCCATTTATTTTCACAGTCACAACCCGATAATACTCCATATTTATGAGAGTAGTGTACCAAAATCCCAAATTCCTTCCCAAGATTATGTTCCTGAGATGCCACAATCAATTAGCGCTAAACCTTCCTTAAGTCAACAGGCTTATAGGGGGCCTGATTGGAAGAGGGACAAAAATGAGGCTCTATGCAAGGCTTGGCTGGCCATCTCCGGTGATGCAGTTATAGGCGTAGACCAAAGTAGAGTCAAGCTATGGTTTCCAGTGAAGGAAAATTTTGTATTTCAACTTGGTTGTTCATCTAATAGGGTGCCAAATTGTCTGATGAATCGATGGTTTATCATGTAGAAATTAATGACAAATTTTTTTACATGCATAACTGTAGTCAATAGGAATTACATAGTGGCTATAACAATGAAGATACGATTAGTTTTTTACTGTGTTAAATTTAACTCATAAATATTTAAAATATTTGACTTCTAATTACTTTTTCTTTCCCTTTTTTTTTTCTTCTTCTTTTTTTTTTTTTTTTTTTTTGTGTAGATGCTAGCAGTTAAAGACCTTTTTAAGGCACAAACTGGTTAAGAATTTAATCTTGACAGTTACTGGAATATTGTGAAGAATACCAGTAAATGGCATTTACATTGTGCCAAATAAGAAGGAAGTAAGAACCCAAAACAATAACAGAAGAAAAGGAGTGCATTTGACAATGATGTAGGTACGCCATCTAGTCATGCAGCTACGCCGCCACTTCAACTTTGATTGAATCTTCACAAAACATCAGCGAAAATGATTCGCCCGATGTTGAGGAATGTCAACCGCTTGAACGACCACCCAGAATAAAAAGCATCGAAGCAGCGCCGAGATAAAGGTTCGAGTTTGAATTCGATGCAGAGTTCATTCCTAAACAATTTTAATGATTTGAAATTCCTTATTGATACAAAATTAGATAACCTTTTGAATGCGAGAGGCAAGAAAAACAGAGAAAGAAGACTAAACAGATAGAGATAGCAGAGAAAGAGAGGACCAAATAGCTGGAGATAACGGAGAAAGAGATGACTAAACAGATAGAGATAATGGAGAAAGAGATGACCAAACAGCTAGAGATAGTGGAGAAAGAGATGACTAAACAGTCGATGATTTAGGAGAAAATATTGAAAAAAGAGAAGGAAATAATGCTAATAGATTCAAAATCGATGCTAAGACAAGAAGGGCAAGAGTGGATAATGCGACAAACGAATATAATGGAATTTATGCGACAAAAGTTGTCACAGCCTAAAAAAAGAAACAAGCTTGGATATTGTATTATTTTAGTTATTTGTAATTGTTTTTAATCTATGGTAATGAATATTGCATTATTATTATTATTATTTTCATAATGTAATGTATTGTTTTTAGATTAATGTAATAAACCATAATTATCAAATGATGAGCAAATAAATAATTATATAAGATAAAAAAATATAGTCGTTATAAATATAATCGTTCAAATATAAGAATTATAAATATAGTTGTTGGTAAAAATATATATACATATATATTAAAAAAATTATTTTTAAAGAGCAAAAATTCAAGTAGACTGTTGTAACTCCAATTTTTAGAGAGCAGAATTTGCCTAAGTGGTAGCTCTTAAAAAAGTTGATGGAGCTAATTTAAAGGCGGATGGCCTAAGCTCCACAATGAAAGACATGTATTGGAATTGGTCCCACACGAAAGGAATTTGCTTCGTTATTTTGTCCGAATGCAAGACCATTATGGTAATTCAAATCTTACCATTTTCGTTAAATGACAGAATTACCCTTCCCTTCAGCGCTGCGGATGGCCTGCTCCACAATGAAAAGACATGTATTGGTCATTACTCTATTAGTCCCAAGGAATTTGCTTCGTTTCTTACCATTTTTTCATTAAATGACAGAATTACCCTTCTGTTCTGTATCCCCAGAACCCTGCAAAACCCTAATTTAACCCGTATCATCGTGACTGAACTGAAGAAGAAGAAGAAATGGGGAAAATTCCATCATCATTCAGGTCATCACGATTACCAGTAAGCACAATGCTCAGGAACCCTAAATCTGTCCCTCCCGAACAACACCAATCTTCAACCCCAACCCCAACCCCAACCCCAACCCCTCCAAGAACCCGTCACTTTCCCAAGAAATCAACATTCAATAAAAGACCTCCCAAGCATCCTACCCTCACCCAAAGCCCTAGATTCACCTTCGACTCCCCCAACCTCTCCGACGCCAAAACCCTCTTCAACTCCCTCGTCACCTCTTTCGCCGCCTCCGCCGCACAGGACCTCAATTTCCTAAACTCCATCCTCCAATCATTCGCCGCCATCTCAACCCTCTCCGATTCCATCTCTCTCTTCCGCCACATGATCAAGACCCACCCTCCCTTCTCCCCCGACCGATCAACCTACCACATCCTCCTCTCCCAGTCCTGCAAATCACCCGATTCCTCCCTCTCCCCCGTCCATCAAGTCCTCAACCTCATGCTCACCGACGGCTTCCCTCCCGACAAGGTCACCACAGACATCGCCGCTCGAACTCTCTGCTCCGTCGGCCGTGAAGAAGACGCCGTGGAATTGATCAAAGAATTGTCATGCAAACACTCGCCGCCAGATACATACACATACAATTTTCTCGTCAAACATCTAGTCAAGTCCAGGACTTTGATTACTGTCAACAATTTCATCAAAGAAATGCGTGAGTCTTTTGAAATCAAGCCTGATCTTGTTACTTACACAATCATGATTGATAATGTATGTAATACCAAGAATCTCCGTGAAGCGATACGGTTGTTAGGAGTGTTAGCTGAGGAAGGGTTTAAGCCTGATAGGTATGTGTATAACACGATTATGAAGGGTTACTGTAAGTTGAATCGAGGTGCTGAGGTATTATCTGTGTACAAGAAAATGGAGGAGGAAGGGATTGAACCTGATATCGTGACATATAATACTTTGATCTTTGGGTTGTCGAAGGCAGGGAGAGTGAAGGAAGCTAGGAAGTATTTGAATGTTATGGCGGAAATGGGTCATTTCCCGGATGCGGTGACTTACACGTCTTTGATGAATGGGATATTCCGGGAGAAGAATGTGAATGCATCGGAGGCATTGCAGTTGCTGGAAGAGATGGAAGCAAAGGGGTGCAGTCCGAATTCGTGCACTTATAATACAGTGCTTCACGGGTTGTGTAAGTTGAAGCTTTTGGAAAAGGGAATCGAATTTTATGGCGTGATGAAAGCAGGTGATATGAAGCTCGAGACAGGTTCTTATGGGACCTTTGTGAGGGCACTTATTCGGAATGGTAGGATTGCCGAGGCTTATGAAGTGTTTGATTATGCAGTGGAGAGTAAGAGTATGACAGATTTTGCTGCTTACTCAACACTTGAGAGTACTCTTAGGTGGCTGAAGAAAGCAAAAGAACAAGGATTTGTTGTTTAACTGGTAATTTTCTTATTCTTGTATGGAATTCTCGCTAGTACTTTCTAATAATTAATTTCTGTGACTATTTTGTATCTCAATAGACAATAAACAGTTAGCGAATTTTTAAGGTACTCCCACTCTGTTTTCACTTATATTAGTTAATAAAATTTCAAAATTTTAAAAATTGTTAAAATGGACTTTTAAATTTAGAACAACACAACTTAAAACTAACATTTGAAGAATAATAATTCAATGATTTTTTTGCTTGTAATTTGAAAAATGATATTTAAACTCCTTGCTATACTAAACAGTTAGAAATTATCATTCACACTACTGCATCTACTATTGAAACATATGCAAATACTGCAAAAGATTATAACATTGTAGGTTATTTATGTACAATAATTGTAGAACATATAATATTTTTAAAATGACTGTTCTTGATGCAGCTATCATCTGTTCCCTTTGCTTTCTTTAAGTTAAGTTTGATAATTTAATTATGTGGTTAATTCATGCGACCCTTGTGGAGAAGGCATTATAAATGAAGACCGAAATCTTTTATAACGTTTTCTATTGGATTAGAATATTATGAAGGATGGAATGTAAGAGTCTATAGTTTGTAGTATTTTTTGTTTCTCACATGAAAATAAATAAATTTAATGGTAGTGTTTATTGTACAAAATGAAGTCCTCGTGATGTAATTCCAAAAAATGGGACTCTGTTGCATGGATATTAAAATTTCTGGGTTAGTGATATACATTGTTATCAAAGGCACAAGCGCACTAAGGCGTTAAAGGTCTTTTGGAGCCTAGTGTCACGGGCCTAGAGATTTGGCGCAACGGCACGGCCCGTGCGGCACCAAGGCGTTGCTTCAGCTCGCGCAAACGCCCTGGTCAGCTACCACGACCTGCCCTCCCAAGGATACATGCTGACTGGTTTCAACCTGCCTTGATTTCATCAGGGGAACGGCTCCAGCTCCCAACCAGTTTGTGCAGGGATGGCCAACTCCCTTCTTCATAGTCAAGTCCACGACCAGCGACAAGCACCTCGAACTGAACCGAGTCGACCTGCCTGAACTCTGAAGAGGTACCATCTTGTGGTCCTGCACTACCCTTCCCTTGAACCATTCCCAGTCAATGAATGCTCTTAGCCAACTAGCATGCGTGTCTTCTACGCTCATGGCGTCGTTAGGAATCGGAACGTGACATTCTCCCCCACCCAAATCCTGCGACGCCCTCGTCACAGTGCAGCGCTGACTCCACTGCGTCCAACATTCCAAAGTCTCTCTCCTCCAAGTGGTATGCTCGCCTGCCCACCATCCTTCCTTGTACAACCCCTGGCTACACTCGCCCAATGATAGGGTTTCGGGCTAAAGGCACGCCCACTTCTTCGGGACGCAACCCCACGTTATGCCGCCTCCTCGACACCCCGAGCAAACAAGGGCCCTCCGGCTGTCTTGATACCCGCCCTTCACAACGGTTTGCACGACTCTTGAACTTGCAAGAACTTTGGTGCGCGCGGCCCTCCGGCCATCCGATGCACACGGTCCTCCGGCTTCAAAAGACGCATCTTCATGAGGAGATGGAGGCTCTCCTCCAACAGCATTGATTGCCCACCGACGCTTTAGTGCACCCACTTCATTTTCAAGATTTCAGGATCGACGAGGGGGCACACCTCTGTGTATTACTCCAAGTCCTGCTCTAATATCATTTGTCACGGGCCTAGAGATTTGGCGCAGCGGCACGGCCCGTGTGGCACCAAGGCGTTGTTTCAGCTCGTGCAAGCGCCTTGGTCAGCCACCACAACCTACCCTCCCAAGGATACATACTGACTGGTTTCGACCTGCCTTGGTCTCATCAGGGGAACGGCTCCAGCTCTCGACCAGTTTGTGCAAGGATGGCCAACTCCCTTCTTCATAGTCAAATCCACGACCAGCGACAAGCACCTCGAACTGAACCGAGTCGACCTGCCTGAATTCTGAAGAGGTACCATCTTGTGGTCCTGCACTCCCCTTCCCTGGAACCATTCCCAGTCAATGAATGCTCTTAGCGAACCAGTGTGCGTGTCTTCTATGCTCATGGCGTCGTTAGGAATCGGAACGTGACACTAGGCACAAGGTGAGGCGCACGTTTGAGTGAAACGAGGCCCACAAAAGTGAAAATTAATTACTATTAAAAAAAAATTTATATTCCATATTAAAGGTGCAAATTTTGTCAAAGGCACACCTTGGCACACAACAGGCGCCCGTAGGAGCCTGAAGCCTAGACGTGCCTTTAACAACACTGGTTATATACTAACCTTGGCATTTCCTACCCTTGATTCTCCAGTTTCTATAGAATCATTTTAAGCTGATTACTGCATGTGTTCCATTTAAAGCCATCAGGGGATTTTGTTTTTTAAAATTAAATATTGAGGGATGCCTTTCATTGATTGAAATGATTTCAATTTCAGAGTCTTTTAGGGTTGCACCTTTTGCTCTCTGTGTATGTGTGTGCACGCACACAAGCAAGTGCAATGGGGTTGGTGCAGACCTCTTTTGGCCCTCGGAGTACAATGTTTTGGTAATGTTGTGTGGATGTCACTTGGATGGGAAGTTCATTAATCAGAAATTGATTCTTCATTTTCATAATATTATTTTGCTAACCTCAAAGGATCCTCACTCTTACGAGAGTTTCACCTTAAAAGCTGGTGGCAAGCCAAGAGAAGTAAAATGAGAAATAAAAATAAATAAAAGCTGGTGCACTAGGCTGCCCCTTCAACATCTTCAAGCTTTAGCTCCTACAATTTTAGTTTGGATGCTCAAATCACCCTTGGGAGCTTTCTTTTTTACCATTTTTATTCTCATTTAACAGAGAACTAAAACGGATTTTGGCTTCAAAAGGAGTTTAACTGTTGGTGCTGGCAGACCTGCTTGCATTTGCATTCCTTGTATCCTTAATTTACTGCAAATACCCTTTCCTGCACTGAGACTTTGTTAACTGACTCTGAAGTGAATGAAGAGACTACTGGCTGTTATTTATCTGTCTCCTTTGCGGTCTATCTTTCTTTTATTTGTGAACAGAGGTCTTATTCAACTTTCTTAAGAGAAAGCTCCACTTTACTTCACCTTTAGGAGGCTTTTGATCTTGTTGTGTCAAAAACTAATTGTTATTTGGTAGCAATTGGTGTTCTGCGACAAATTTTTTTGTGGTAGCTATATTGCATGACAGTAGATGAATCTATAATTGTCTTACTGTTCTGGCTCTAATTCCAAGCTTGCTGAGCTAGAAATTAAAGCAAGCTGTTTATGTTTTGTCCTTTTAGGCTGGATCATTCTTCTCTATATCCATGCCTAATGTTAAGGATGCCTACTTTTGTGCTAATTTAGCCGCACCATTTTCTTTCTGCACTATTTTTTGATTAGTGGTCTATGTTCCTTTGCTATAAATAACTTTGTTACTTGATTTTCTTTCTTCTAGGTCCTACACCAGGCTGAGGCTGTTGTAACTGGTTTCAATTTTGGAAAAGTCTTTGAGCTTTCCTTTATTAAATGGAAATAGTGCTTGCAAGTATAGTACTTCCCTGTTGAACAATATATGCAAGATGACTGTTTGGCACCCTATGGTCAAAGGAAGGGGAGCTATTGATTCAATGGGAGCCATATGATGCGAGATAGTGTATACACTTGAACTTTGGAGCTGTCTGGTTTCCTTGCATTGAAGTTGGGTGTTTCTTGGGTGCTATCTTCCCTTTGACTCCAATCTCCTCTTTTCTGCTCAAAGTAAGAAAATTTGCTATAGGTAAAAAGCAATAAAATATTTTCTTTTGAAGGTGCTCTGGACTCCAAAGCTTAAGCTTTTCATTGAAATGCTCCCTCGTATTATCAAGGCTTGCTGCCTTATGCTGAATTGAGGAAGAGCAATATAACCAACTAAAAGGTTGATCCCGTTGAACTGACTTCAGGCTCTGAAAAATATTGGCAAATTTATGCTGCCACTATTTTGTACTCGTGGTTTGGTCTTCTGGGTTGATATAAATGCATATAATCATTAATAAGTTTTTCTTAAAGTCATCAAGGATTCAATTTGCAACTGTGAGTAGCCATTTTTTTTTGGTTCTGATTCAGTCTTCCAAGAGTCACCAGGATGATGAGCAGACGTATTTTGTTTTTGTATCAGGGCCCCTTCAAATTGGTAATTATGTGACCCTAGCCTCTAAAACTTCATCGTTACCATGTGCCTCCATTCTAATTAATAAATTAATGAGGTAAAATTCAATCTTTCCTCACTTCCTTTTTCAGATAGTGTTCATTGCAGAATGTTGTGTGATGCATGTGTACTTAATTTGAGTCTTTTCATGCACACGTACAAGGAAATGCAGATAGTTTGGTGGGAAAGGCGATAGGTTGTGTTTTGCTCTACGAGCGTGGAATACCGATCTTTTTAGTCGGGATTACTGGTTAAGTCATGTTTTTTTGAACCGGTTCATGTAGCAAAGGCTGCTGAGCTAATGTCAGTCTGGAATTCCTTTCTACATGATTTGTGGGAAGATCATTTCTGTGGCCTTCTGGTTCTTGCTGAATGATTCTACATGAAAAGATTGTTGCCCTTTTTTTTATTTTTTTATTTTTTATTTTATGATTTTGGTTACCATTTGTTCATTTCCATAATCTCATTGGCCTGCCTGTGCATCAATTTGATTTGCATTATCCTTTCTCTATTGTCATTATAGAACAAGCCTTGAATGCTAATATATCTACTAGGCTTTTAATAACACTTGGCACTCTTCAAAACCATCTCCCTAACTGATGATTAAAAATTTTATGACTACCGTTATATAACATCTGTCCGAGTCCGTTACACCATGACCGATACTGCGAGTCTTGATTCAGAACCAAAGCAATTTTAATAATTTCAGAACCAAAGCGATTTTAATAGTTTTAGAAATAGTGAACCCAAACCGTATTGAAACCGATCTGAATCATTAGAAATAGTAAAATTCAACATAAATTAAACCCGTACCAATCCGTACAATTTGGTTCGGTTAGGTCTGTTTTAATTTACCGGTTGTAACTGTTTTTTATCCGCCCAAAATTTTCAGAAATCTTTCAACTTGTTTTATAGATTGGACATGGCAATTACAATGGGAGACAGAGAGGCGCAAGGCCTCCTTTGTTTATACATATAGAGCATGTGATTCCATATGTGGGAGTATTCCCTTCTCTACTGCCAACAAGCTGCCGCCCTCTCCATGCCTAAGCTTTTGTTTATTGTGTATAGGCTTTGCATCAATTTCGAGTGGCTAATAAAAATGGATATCTGAATGCTTCCTTGTCTCCCCAAAACATATATTTCTCTGCCTCCTCATCCCATCTTATGATAACAATTTTTATTATAACCAATTGTGAATTAGTTCTGCAACACAGCTATTTTCTCCCACCAATATTAGTTGACTTCTCTCTCTCACACACACATACACATTCAATTACTCTCTATGATTATTTATTTTGGAAATGCATACATGCCAGCCATTAGTGTTGAGAAGTAGCAGATTCCTGTTTCAATGATGGACTATTTAAAGATTGAATTCTGGTTGAGAGGATGGTACCACTGATGATTGGGAAGGCAACAAGGCATATACAGCTATTGTGGTCTCTACCCCTTGTTTACAATCTCAATATCATAACCTAAAATTATAACCAAAGGCTATACGTTGCCCATTTCATGACCATAAAATTATGGGACGAATCAGACATTGCCGGTTGTTGGCTCGAAATGAGACAAGAATCATCAAAAGGTAGGATGATGATCCACATTGACCATCACATGCCTACTGTTTTTATAAATGGAGTTGGAACCTCATTCTCTAGTCAAGCTTCACCTTGAATATCGAGCAATTTCAACATCTGCAGAGAAAGCAAAAATGGCAGTCTCTTCTGCAACTCTTGGCTTGCAATATCATGTCAGGTCCATTAGTTTGCCTTCCAGGTTACATCCTCATTCTATAAAGATTGAAGCTGAGCTAAACAAGCTCAAATCCTGGGAAGCATCAACAACGACAGTCCCTTTAACTGCAGAGACTATTCGAATTGGTCTGGTTGGCCTTGCAGAGCTATACACTTATGTCGAGGAGCTCATTCACTCTCCCCAGACACAGCAATCTCTTTTCCAACCTCAACATGGTGTGCTAGTGGAAGAAGCACTTGAGGGATCAGCCAGTCTGCTGGACTCGTGTGGTGCTGCACGAGACTTGATTTTGCTGATGAAGGAACATGTGCAGGAGCTTCAATCTGCGTTACGTAGAAAGGGTGGAGATTCAAGCATTGAAAGCAACATCAATGCTTATACATGCTTCAGAAAGATAATGAAGAAGGAGATTTCCAAGTGCCTCAGAGCACTGAAGCAAATGGAAAACAGAACCAGTTCCTCTCCTCTCTTGGATGCTGATCACTATCTGTCAGTTGTGATCAGAATCCTAACTGAAGTAACTGCCATCACAATCTCTGTTCTTAGAACCTTCCTGTTGTTCTTCTCTGCTTCGGCTCTGAAGACAAAGTCCGGTGGGTGGTCATTGATCTCAAAACTGATGCTGACAAGGTCAGCAACTTCTAAGACCAGCGAGAAGATTTTCAACGATGCAGAAAGTGTTGATTTGGCTCTGCAGTCTCTCCATGGATGCTTTCGGAGCCATGATGCCAAGGTTGACGTACAAATGGCGCGAAGGAGATTGCAGGCTCTTGATGGTAGCATCGAAACACTTGAGGCTGGATTGGATTGCTTGTTTAGATGCCTAGTCCAGAATAGAGTCTCTCTTCTGAACATCCTGGTTGACTGAAGATAGAAACCATTGTACATCTCAAATTGGTCATGGCGTCCATGTTTTATAGGATTTGCTAATGTTCCAAACCCTATTTTTGTACAAGTGCTGAAGCAAATGATAGTATATTACAACGAAATCTGAGTTCTTTCCATTCTCATTTTTTTTGGTCATATACCTAACTGCAAACGTTCATGTGATATACACACACATACATATATGCGCGCGTGTATTGAGAGCACTTTCAAGATGTCGAGCTTTTCCAGCACCATCAATTAACAGAAACAAGACGGAATAATGACCACAAAAAGATGCACAAGCCATTTTGTAAAATTGGATACATGGAGGAAAATGCTGGAGACAAGGAGAATCAGTGTCTCTCAGTGGTTTATGACAAACATGTGAAATGCAAATGCTTGTGTTCCTTTCTAACACCTCCCATTTCTGATTAGTCCAACTTCAAATTCCAATAAATATTAAAGTGGAATATTAATTTCCTTGTGTCCTCCTTGTCTCCCAAACACTAACTGTTTAGAAGAAATAGTTTCATGTGAGAGATTCTTTTAACAGATTAAATGCCACTTCCTGATGAATGTACCAAAAATATGCAATGAATTTGGTCCCCTTTAGCTCCTTATTCCAAAAATTGTACACCTAGTTGATTCCTCGCCGTGGTTTGTTGTAGCAAGACAGGCATGCATGAAACATGAATGGACATCCTTTGATGCAGAAGTTCCGATTCTACCTTACGAACTTCTAAAGAACATGACTGAATTATTGATAAGCAGAAAAATGTACACACTAATGCCTATAGCTGTTTGGAAGCAACTCTTTGTTGTGGAGTGGATTCTATCGATTCATCAGTCTAGAGAGACCTTTCGGTGACATTTTCGTATGCGTAATTTTTGGTGAAATCTAAACATTATATACTTGATTGCTTCATTTGGAATTGATTTTTGTTAACTTCTTAAAATAACTCAACAGTGAGGGATTTTTAGAAGCTGATCCTTGCTTGCATTTCCAGAATCCATAGAATCCACTACTTCTCTACTGCAGTCCAATGCCTCATATTTCTTTCTCAAACCATCAAAGATTATATGTACTAGAAAATCACTTCTTTTTTTGGGGAGCAAAAAAGTTAGAGATTTAGTATAACATCATGTATCTGTATTGTATTTTCTTGTATAACTACATAATTTGTTCATGTACATAGCTGTTGAATTAAAAATGTAGTAGTATGACATTAGTGTGAGACTATGTTTAGGAGAGAGGCCCTTGCTTTAATCAAGCGCCTAAACAAGCTTCCCGAACCATTCTCAAGGACTTCAATGGTAACCTCCAAGGCCTCGAAACTATTTTGTGCACTTTGCATCTTATCTCCTTCAGTCATGCCACATCTGCTTAGTATGTGCAGTGCAATATCTACGCTTCCCAACTCGTTCACATTCTCCTGTTGGCCTTCACTTCCTACTGCCCCTTTGAGCAACAAGTTTGAAACCAATGACCACCTTCTTGTTGGCATTGGTTTTGAAATTGGCAGAGACAAGAACAATAGCAGTGTGTGAAAGACAGAAATGCTCATTACATTAACTTCTCGTAGCACTCTGATCAACGAAGTGATGTGATGATCCGATTCCAACAGTGGTGAGGGTGAGGCTTCAATTTTGTTGTCCACTTGCTTCAATGCTGCAATCAACTTTTTGGCATCCTTCTTCATCTTCTTTCTAAAGCAAGTGTACTTGGCTATGCTGCTCTCAATGCTCGAATCTCCCTTTCTTCTACGCATAGCTGATTGAACATCTCTAATGTGTTCCTTCATTTGTGACATGACATCCCTTGTAACACCACAAATGTCCAAAAGCCTCAAAGATCCATCCAACAACTCGTTAATCCATTTCTCGTGTTGATGGTGAGAGAGGGCTTGTTGTGTCACCGGCAAATTGTAAAGACCATCCAGGCAGTTGTACAACTCTTGCAGCCCGGATAGACCATCACAAATTGTGTCTGCAGTTGGTGTAGACGACGCCTCCCATGTCTTGAGCTTGTTCAGCTCCTCGTCGATTCTGAGAGTGGTGGGATGTGATCTGCAAGGCAAACTAATTGATCGAGTATGGTAAAGTTTAGTGGATTTTGAAGAACTAGCCATTGTGATACAGAAAGCTCAAAAATGTGATAATAACAAAAAGCTCTGTGCTTTTGTATTTATACCAACACATTCATGAAAGGGGACAAGATGAGTCACAGACTTTTCATGAAAAATGTGAAGAGCATGTGATGCCAGCTTCGATTTCTGTTATCTTGTTACACATTTTGCTAGATATATAATAAATTTTGTTATTACCTTAGTCCCTAAAGTTATGGAATGGGCATGAGTGTGTGTTGCTATTCCAAAGTGCCACCTCCAATTTGTCTCCCCTGCATTGCGCCACGACTGACACGCTACTCTGCAATTTGCTACTATAAAATTGAGGCTGCCTTATCACCATAGATAGACGTGGCCCTTCAGAGCCGTCTAGTCAGGAAGCAACATGTTTATTATTTAACATAAACAATATATTGGAGATACTGTGATCCGGATTTTGTAGATATTCTCTGGAAATGGTAGAGATGGAGATCGGAGCACATAATAAAAGTGATTTAAGCTCATATTATATGAGTGCACGAGTGGCTCATTATATTCATCAATATTGCTCCATTTGGTTTGACATGATTATATTAATTACTCCTTTTTCATTGCTTTTTTAGGGGAATGCTTCAATTGGGAGTCATTAAAAAAAAAAAAAATTCTGATTATGAGCATGTTTATGAGCATGATTATGAATTTGAATTTCGGCCAATCTATAAACTTCTGCTGCATTTTATTTTTCTTTAATTTCACCAAAATTTTCAAGTTGTTCGAAAAAAGTACTTCCACCTTAAGTTCTTCTTACACCACACACACACACACACACACACACACACACACACACGGGAACTTGAAGTCCATTAGCTGTAATTTGTTGGTAACACAATCATGTATTAAATCTACTTTAATTACATTAGTAGGTTACAAACCTTGAAGGAAACATCATGACGACATGCCATTCGTGTACAAATATATAAAAAATGTCCCCATTATGTCTTAATTAAGTACCATATCAATCTAAATCTTGTAATTTATTAAGAATATGGTTGTTGGACCTCACTCTCTAGATCTCAATATCTAGGTTGGCCATCTTTATATGACTTTTCATCTATTGTCAATGGTTTTTCTTTTTAGACATGTTTTTTTTTTTTTTGGAATTCATAATCCCTTTTTAAATTTGTAATCAACTTTATTAATGAATTAATGTACCTATTAGTTGAGGGTGATCATTGAGGTTACGACAATAGAGTAGTGGATGAATAAATTGGACTTTATTTGTTAAAATATCAGAGTAAATGAGTTTCAAAACTTAAAAATTGAGAGACTGCATGTGTCCGGAGGTATTTAAGCACAATTACAGGGAAAAAAACTTGATTGTAAGTTTGTAACCATGAACTAAATTTTGCAACTAGTCACTCAAGTTAATTGGTTGCATTCAAAAAATTTAAAATTAAATTGGGACAAGGATGATTTGGAAAATTTGATGAAACAAAAAACAAAGACAGAATGGACACTATTCATCTTTTTCCTAACTAATCTTTTTATCAAAAAGATTTAGGAAAAACAAGCCATTCGTGCACTCATTATCACATTAACCTCAGTTTTTGTTATAATCGATAATTTTATTAATTTAATATCTCCAATCTCAATCTCTAATTTTAATTATTTTTTCCCTAAATCCGGATCTCAATCTCTCAAAACACACACACACACACACACAGTTATATAGTATTCCACCGAGGGCAACAATGGCGCAATGCAGGGGAGGCAAAAGAGAGGTGGCTCTCTGCAATTGTACAACAAACACTTGATAGTAGACACCTCGTACCCAATCCTCAACATTAGGGACTAAACTAATAACAAATTATTATACCCTTGTTGCCCAAATGTGTAACAAGATCACATAATTCAAATAATAGCCGACACTGTCATTACATGCCCATCAACACTCTATGACTCATCTTGTCTCCTATATGTATGTGTTTAGTATATATAGAACAAGATATAGCTTTATGTTCCCATCACATTCTTAAGCTTTCTGTGGAAAAAACAACCACCAAAATGGCTAATAAACTTTACCACATTCGATCAATTAGTTTGCCTTGCAGATCACATCCCACTACTCTCAGAATCGACGAGGAGCTGAACAAGCTCAAGACATGGGAGGAGGCATCATCTACGCCAACGGCAGAGACAATTTGCAATGGTCTATCCAGGCTGCAAGAGTTGTACAAATGCCTGGATGATCTTCACAACTTGCCGGTGACACAACAAGCCCTCTCTCACCATCAACACGAGAAATGGACAAACGAGTTGTTGGATAAATCTTTGGTGCTTTTAGACATCTGTGGTGTTACAAGGGATGTCCTGTCACAAATGAGGGAACATGTTATAGATGTTCAATCCGCTATGCGTAGAAGAAAAGGAGATTTGAGCAGCATAGCCAAATACACTAGCTTTAGGAAGAAGATGAAGGAGGATGCCAAAAAGATGATTGAATCATTGAAGCAAATGGACAACAAAATTGAAGCCTCCTCACCCTCACTACTATTGGAATCTGATCATCATATGTCTTCATTGATCAGAGTGCTACGAGAGGTTAATACAATGAGCATTTCTGTGTTTCACACACTTCTATTGTTCTTGTGTGTACCAATTTCAAAGCCAATGCCAATAACAACAAGGTGGTCATTGGTTTCAAAATTGTTGCACAAAGGGACAGTAGGATGTAAAGAGCAACAAGAGAATGTGAACGAGTTGGGAAGCGTAGATATGGCGCTGCACATCCGACGCCAATGTGGTTCGAATGAAGAAGATAAGATGCAAAGACTGGGGGCCTTGGAGGGCAGCATTGAAGTGATTGAGAATGGTTCAGAGTGCATGTTTAGGAGATTGATGAAGTCAAGGGCATCTCTCTTAAACATGGTCTCACTATAATGTGATAGTGGTGGATATCATTCCTAAATCTGCATAGGCATAGGGATTTCAATTTTGTGTTTCAAAAGCTATGTACATGATCGACCTTACTCCTTTATTTTTTATTTTCTTTGAACACGTGTATCGATCTCACAATATACGTACCATTTAAGTCAGGAGTGCGGTTCGAAAGCGAGACCTCAAAGACTTACTTCTTGAATCTCTGTCAATACCGCTATGCCCTGAGGGCTATGTATGTGATGAACGTTATCCTTTCTTTACTCATTCACACAAGAAAAATACAGCACAAATTCAATGTTACACAAAAATGTTGCCTCTCTCTTTCTATGTATGTATATATAGATTTGTTCCCTAATTTCAAAAAAAAAAAAGTAAACTGTAATTTCAGGGGAGCACAAAGTAATATTTTATAAACTATTTACCCATATGTATAAAAAAAAAAAATCAGGCCTAGGGGTGTTTCAGAAATAAAAATAAATTTTAGGGAGCACAAAGTAATATTTTATAAATTATATATTCATGTGATGTTTCCAATTTTCAGCATTTTTCATTTTTCTGAAATTTCGTCGCTGCGAGGGCCTTTCTGTCTTTTCACGTTTTTCGATTGGGATTTCAGTTGAGTCCAATTGCATTTTATACATTTTAATTTATATGTTTTAAGTGGCATTTACGTGGTGGTGTATGTATTTAATTGTGTGGTGTGGAAATTAAAACAAAGAAAAAGGAAAAGTCAAATGTTGGTGGTGGGACCCACCACTCACACATTTAATGGTTTAGAGACCATTTTTGATCACCCATTTTTCTCTCTCCCCGTAACTTTCTCTTCCTCTCTCCTTCTTCACTTGTTTTTCTTTTTTTTTTGGAATCAAACTTCAAGCTTTGATTCCATCTTCAATACTTTGAATTTTGGAGTACAATTTGAGACAAAACAAAGAGTACGACGAACTCTACGCGTGAGTACCAACACTTTCAGCTTTGAGCCTCCTTAGAGATTTCGAATTTCTTGACTCATTTGAGGGTTTTGCACCAAATCAAAGTAGGGGTTCTTAATCCATGCAATCTTATGCTTTTATGAGTTATCTTATCATAAATGGTTGTTTAGCATGCTTAATTTGTATAGTATCTAGTCAATTGCTTAGTTGTTGTGTATATTGGTCAATTGTGTAATCATGTGTGTTGAATGATCTATGTGAAGAGCATACTTACGTGTTGATTTTCATATGCCTATCATGCTAGATTTTTTTTTAAATTATTATTATTATTATTATTTTATTGTATGACCGCATATTGTAAATTCTTTGGAAATCCTTATGAACATTGCTTTGTTAATTAAATTTGAGTTGGTTGTCGAATGATGGACATAAACATGGCATTGATGTATTCATGCATCAACATTGGGCATGAAGAAGGGAAACATTGTTTTGATATGAAAAAAAAAAAAAAAAAAAAAAAAAAAAAAAGGAGATTTTTAGGGAAGAAGTCTGATTAAAATGTTTTATGAAAACCCGGTTGCCGTAAGAGTACCAAAGGGCTTGTGTGTTAATATAACATAAAGGGAATTAGGGAGATTGCCCTAACGTGGTTGAGCTAACTGGGCCCAAAATGACGCCGCAGGGGTACCAAGGGTCAGGGACACTAGCCAATCCTTCTCTCGTGTCGCTGCGAGGTCACCAAAGGGCGGGTTATATTAACTATTTGAAAGTGATGGTTTTGAATGTTGAAAATGGGGAGTGACATCGGCATGTATTGCATTCCATTGCATTACATTGTTTATACTTGAGATTGATTAGTATGTTGCTATATCCTGGCATGGTATGATCCCCATTTCCTATTGCTCTATTCTTTATATGGATTCACGGGGACACAAGAAGCGTGTCTTAAGTGCCACCTGCTGAGCTTTTGCTCACCCTCGGGTCATGGCAAAGAGTTGGCGGATAATAATCCACCGCAAGCTTGAAAGTTGTTATTAGGAGACCATTTTGCTATTTTGTACTTAGGCCATTCCTTTGTATGCCTATTGTTTTGGAAATGTAACAAATGTTATTATTAATGGCCTTGTAACTCAAGTATGAGACTTAGCTTTTATTTGATGTAAATGGAATCAATGTACTCATTGTGAATATCTCTATGTAATCCTGGCAAGTGATATTGTAAGATGATTAATTGATAGCCTATTAGTTTACGATTGTTGAATGTCTCATATTTGATGGTTTTGTCCGGGTTTGGGTTGTTTTAAAAGTCCCCTAAGCCATATTAGTTCATTTCTAAGCATAGAAGGTCAGTTTCAGGATGCAGGGCTCGAAGAAGCCACTTCGGTCGACCGAAATAGTGCATCGGTCGACCGAACCCCTTTGTTGACTCTCGGGATCTCCTGTTTCGGTTGACCGAAATAGGGTTCGGTCGACCGAACCATTCTCATGCTCTCAGGATCTCTGCTTCGGTTGACCCAAGGTTCGGTCGACCAATTTGGAAGGGTTTGCTTCGGCCAACCGAAGTGAGTCTGTTTGGTCCAGTTCTCTCTCTCTATCTCTCTCTCTTCGTCAATGTATCTGTCTCTCGAATCTTAGGAATTTGTTTTGAACTTCGTGAAAGACTAGTGATGATCTAGAGATGATTCTAAGGGTGAGGTTGTGGTACTTGAAACGATGGGTTTGACATAGATGACCTCGGGTTCGAGAAAGGACCCGGCTAACAGTTCGGACCTCCACGTTCGGGTCGTCACAATCCATATAAAAAAATTTAAGTCCAGGGATGTTTTAGAAAGAAAAATATACTCCATCTGTTCCAATATACATGTCCTGCATGGGGAATCCAACTTTTTAATAGTGGAGTTTTAATATTTTTTTATATTGTATTAATAAGAGTGAAGTTTCAAATATGCCCTTACTAAAAGACAAAATAGTGCTCCATAATTAATGCAGTTGTTTAGTTAAAATGATAATTTGAGAATGTTATAAAAAATAGTACATTCAATTTTGGAATGAAACATGTTTTTTGGGACATCCCAAAATAGAAGATGGACAACTATTTTGGGATGGAGGAAGTATTTCACAAAGACAAAATATTTTATAAATTATATACTTATATATATACACAACATATATAAAGAATTTAATGGGCCAGCCTGGACCGTGGGGACAAAATGCATATATGTAATATGTACAGTGAATGGAATAAAATAAAGTGGGAATATTTTTGTTTCCATTCTTTAGTTTGATAACTAACTTTAAACTAACTTTAAATTTGAAATGATAATTTTTGTCCATTATCCGAGAATGATGATTCCCACTAATTCATTCCACTTTCCAACTAAAGGAATGACCATTCCATTCCCACTTTGATAATAGTAATAAATAAATAAATAAAACATTTGATGAAACATAAACTACACACACATATATATATATTACAAAAATAGAATGTTTTTCTGTGCAACTAAACATGGGTTCCATTCTCATTCTATTCTCTGATTTATTTCATTCCTACTCTATTTTATTCAACCACACCAAACTAGCCCAATATGTATAAACATGTAAAATCTATTTTCCAAACAACAATAAAAATAATGTGGAAAGAAAATAAAAGAATGAAGATAAGATATACACATGTACAATATGACATAACTACCCCTAAAAAATGTCCGCATCCTGGGTAACCTAGATTATGCTGTCATTTTATTTATTAAAAAATTCAAGTTGGGCACAAACCCATTATTAAATTGGCGGACAGGTTGGCAGGTTTGAATTATAATAATAATGCCGGCCATTTATGACCACCTCAAATGGGTCATTAGCATGTTAATAATTATTATTAATTCGTCCAAATCCGTTCATTTACCACCTCCATACACAAGTAAAATGTGAATATTATAGGAACAAAAAACAAAACATATTATATAACATAAATAATTATTCCCTCCATCTCAAATTAAGTATCACTTTTAATATTTATAACTCACAATAATGTGAATCACAAATAACAAAAGTGATATTTATTTTGAAATTGAAGAAATATTATAATATATATATATATATATATATATATATATTGAACACATGTTACACGTACCTACCTTCTCAAGGTTGTGTACGGTGTATGGTGTATGGTGTATGGTGGAGATTAAAGAAAGCGGAGGTCACTGCGGCATAAAGAGATTCACGTATCAGGTAGTACTAACCACATGGTAATAGCTGTACGTCATGATGATTAAATGATGTACTAAACCTACTTTTTGTACATTCTCAAGTTACATGATAATTAAACGTTGTACTAAGTACAATGGTAGGTTGCCTAATGCTTACCGAATAATAAATAAATACTTTGCAAACCTCAAGGGGAACATTGCGCCAACATGCAACTATTGCGCAAATAACAGTAAATCACATCTTTATCATTTATCTTAACTACCATGTCCATACATATTTTACCTATCAAATATATACAGTATATTTCTAAATAAAAAAATTCCAATTTTAAATATTAATGCTAATCGGGTTAAAAGGAAAGAATAATTATATCAAAAGTGTGTTTGGTTGAATAGAATTGAGACTTTAAAATTGAAATTGATAGAATTTAAAAAAATTTGTTTTTATCTAATTCTACTCTAGTGCTATACACAACCAAACACACGATAACTTAAATTCAAAAGGACTCCTTAAAAATTACAACCTTTAATATTTAATATAATTGTCCTTAAAAGCTTTCTTACACTGTACAGTTGTTTGAAAAAGAAAAAAAAAAAAGAAGGCTCTCAACACTTCACTTCGGATTTTGGAAGGATAATTTTGTAATTTTATTTTTTTAAAATTTTATGCAAAATAAAAAATAAAAATATTCGACTGCTTTAGTAATTTTGTCATTTTTATTTTATTTTGGAGACTCTTTTATATCATCAAGGTGTTCTTACTTATTTATTGGAGGGTTTAAATGCATTAAACCCGATGAACAATGAGCCAATTGTAATAAACCCTCATAAATTAAAAATAACCCCTTAAATTATAAGATTGTTGACAAGCCCGTCAACCAACGTTTGGACAACACAATAACTTTATCACTCTTTCCAATTACCACACAATAATTCTTCATCTGAATCCCGATCAATCCTATTATGTAAAACCCTAACTAAAAATTCTCTAAACGCCCTTTATTCACACTCCAAAAGTCTTGACTTTTGATCCAAAATTCAAACCAATTCTTGAAATCTTCTATAAATTTTTGTGAATTGAAAAAAAAAAGGGCCAATATTTTTATTTTGGAATTGGATTGGAAGATGGGAGTAGAAGCAAAGATGATTGAATACGAAAGAGGCGGTGAGGATGCAGAGAGACAAAGATAATGTTGGAGTGGGAAGTGGGTTTGCCGAGTACCAACGATTTGACTCATCTCTCTATGAAATTGATACCCAGAGCCATCTCTTTAACCCTTCCATCTTCACAACTACCCTCGTTCCGACACAACTTTCAGTGGTGAGTGAACCATTGTTCTTCTTCTTCAAATCTGATCTCAGAGAATTCATATACTCTGCGGCGAGAATTTGTGAGAAGATTGGATGAATGTGCTGTTAGTTGGGACTTGGGTTATAGGTGTAAGACGAGAACAACATATTTGTGATCAAGAATTGACTTCAAAATGTTGGTGATGGTTAATGGATCACAAAAGGAATGTGAGTTTTCTTATGTGATTTTTTGTGGAGTATATGGTTCTTCCTCACCTTCCTCTGACCCTCTCCACAAAAAATCACATAAAAAAATATATAATGAGACAGAGAGGGGGATGCTAACCCAGAGAGATTATACTTTTGCTTTTCTCATTTATTTTTTTTACTAAATATTAGATCTTTCTTAATATCAAAATGTAATTTGATTTACAATGATACAATGGAAGGTTCCAAATACAGAGTATCCGTCTTGAAGATGTTATAACGGGTTGACTTTGTATAACTGGTCATAAAGGGTAAAATTGTCCTTTCAAAAAAAAATTTTTGTCCTGACATTGTGTCCGTTAGCAATTCTACGGAAGATTAACGGAATGTGATATTTTGTAATAAAATGAATAATTTAGGGGGTAAAGTGCTAAAATGATAGTTCAGGTGGATTTTTTTAAGAAAGAGAAGGAAGTTCAAGAAGGTTTAATGCACTTAACCATTTATTAGATGATGTAGACCAGATACGTGTCTGATTTATTTAATATAAGAGCCTATTTGAGATTACTTTTCAAGTGCATAAAAGAGTTAAAAGAAAGTGAAATCTAAAGTGAGGGACTTATAGTGATTTGTTCCATGTTGGTACGGGGAGGGTTGTGTAATTAAAGAGAAGTTAGACTTAACGGGTTCCATGTGTTAGCACCCCACGAGACGGTATACACACATGCACACGCGCGGCGCGCCACCTTGAGGCACGTTTTGCCCTGGTCTTTTTACTTATTATATCTTTCATATTGCTTGCAGAGGTGATCAAAGAGAGAAAACAAGCCGTGAAGGTTAGAGGGAGAGAGAGAAAGAAAAGAAAAGAAAAGAAAAGAAAAGAAAAGAAAGGAGACCAAAAGGAGAGCTGTAGGGTCTGACCCATCATCTCATGTTCATCTCCATCTTTATCTTATTATCGTGTTCATTCAGTTAGGTTTCTCTAATTTATGTTGCTATGTAAATGGTCGGAGTCGTGTTAAATGCCTTCCTGTCTTAGTCAGACCCACTATAAATATACAAATATTTTAATTTTATATTTATCTATATTCATGCATCACTTTCAAATTACAAAGACGGTATTTTAATTAGTTCTTTGATTTGCCTTAAACTGGCCGGAATTTGTTCTCTCTGTTGTCACAGGCTTAGATTTTGGTTCCTTGTTGAAAGGCATGGTTTTGTTCCTTGTTTCAATTCTCATCTTCTCACATAATTGTTCTAAGCTCCTTGTTTTATTTATTAGAATCATGCGTGTAATTGAATTTTCATATGATTCTATTTATGTGAAGCATGTTCGGTATGAAATCTCGTAGGAACACATATTAGAGTTATTTCTACTGGAACTCTTGTCTCACCCCCACTAATTTGCAGGTTTCAATGATCAATTGGAGAGATTTGGAGTTGCTGATTTGGCTTGTTGGTGACTTTCTTGTTCTAGGTATTTGATAAAATGCTTGTATTGACTTCTTTTTGGACGGTGTCATGCATATATATATATATATATATATATATATATATATCATGTGGTGTTAAGTATTTTGTGCGTTTATTTGCATCTCCAGAACAAACGACTCCCCCTCATTTATCAGATCTTGCATGTAGAGGTGGTAATTGGATAGGTTTGGGTGAGTTTTGAGCTGATCAGGAATAAACAAGTCAATAGTGAATTAATAATCGATTATCAATCTATTTATACCGGGTAATAAAGGATTCAATATTAAATGGGTTATAGTTAACACACACCTAACCTAATTATTTAGATATTTTTAGACACAAATTATTAAATTATTTTAATTGTTAAATAGCAAAAAATATATATAAAAAAATATTTTTATATTAATTTTTTAATCTCGTTACAATTTTTTTCTTTTTATTTTTTTTACTTTTTTAAAAACGGAGGGGGAAGAGAATAGGAGGAGAGAGTTATTAAATATATATATATATATAGAGAGAGAGAGAGAAATAGGAGGAGAGAGTTATGAGATGAGGAGAGAGATAAAAGTGAGTAGAGAGATAAGAATAGAAACAGATAGAACCGGAACATATTAATATTAATAATATTAGAATTTTTACACTACTATAATTGTTGAATAACAAAAGAATATATATATTTCTTACATTATTTGTTTGTGCTAGTTAAGATAGGTACTTATTCTTTAGTCACCAACAACCTATGAATTGAACAGTATTCATTATTAACTCACCCATTCACTTAAATTTAAATATCCATATAATTTAATTTTAGTAAAAGAATTTTTTAATTATTTTGAATTTAGATTGTCACTGAAATCATCTGAGACTCTCCTCATTCATTAAATGATCAATGTGGAATACGAACATGGATCCCACTTACACCATCGCGTGGATGGGAGCTCCATTGGCTTGTAACTTTTGGGAAAATATTCTACTGGGGGACTGACGTGATCTTTAATTTGCGTCTTTACGTCATTACCGTTCTTATGACAGACATTGAGTTGAAATTATTTTTCTTAAAATATAGAGTAAATGGGCCGCGTCACTGCACAACCAAACACCACGTTATAAGCACTTACAAATGTGAATAGCATTTTGGAGAAGACAAAGACGACCAAGTCCTAGACGAAAAGAAATTATAATGGAGGGTGGTCTGCTCCAATGCTCTGCAAACTACATGCCTCTGTCTCCTATAAGCTTCTTGGAGGGAGCTGCGACAGTTTATGGAGGTAAGGTCTCTATTGTCTATGGCACCACAACCTATTCATGGAGACAAACACATGAAAGATGTCTAAAGATGGCTTCGGCGTTGTTCCAATTGGGTATTTCCCGTGGAGATATTGTAAGTTTATCCTCAACAACTCCTCTTCTTGATTTTATTTATTTTTTTGCATAACATTTAAACTAATTAAGTGTTCGGCTAAATTCCCGCGTGTCTCAAAGACAAGTATGTTCTCTTTTCTTAACTATGATATCTGATTCTGTGACGCGTGAATTACAAAATTTAGACCTCAATGATTTTGTATTAAGGTTTCGTGTCTGACCATCAAATAAAATATGAATAACCATCTCTCTTTTCTTAACTAGGATATCTGATTTTGTCAAGCGTGAATTACAAAACTCATACCTTAATGATTTTGTGTTAAAGTTTTATGTTTGACCATCAGATAAAATATGAATAACTTTTTCTCGTTTCTTAACTAGGATATCTGATTCTGTCGAGGGTGAATTACAAAATTTAAACCTCCATGATTTTGTGTTAAAGTTTCATGTCTGACCATCAGATAAAATATAAATAACTTTTTCTCTTTTCTTAACTAGGATATCTGATTCTGTCGAGGGTGAATTATAAAATTTAGACCTCCATGATTTTGTGTTAAGGTTTTGTGTCTGACCATTAGATAAAATATGAATTACCTTTTCTCTTTTTTTAACTAGGATATCAAATTCTATCGAGGGTAAATTATAAAATTTAGATCTCCATAATTTTGTGTTAAGATTTCATGTCTGACCAGCAGATAAAATGTGAATAACCTGTCCTTTTTTCTTAATTATGATATCTAATTCTCTGAACTTCCATAATTTTGTGTTAAAAGTTTTTGTTTTCCAATCAAATAAAATGCGACTAACACGTCTCCTTTCTTGAGTAGGATATTCTTAATGGCAAAGTTATGGAGGTCAATCTTTGGTAGATGATGTAAGAGAAATGAATCACTTGGCCAACGACTTTAGATAGATGAGTCAATTGTTAATAATATAAGTTTGTATGTATTAAAAGTTTTTCTTAGATAAATAGTTAAATACTCATGGTCATTGGTTTTTAACCTTTTTTATTCACTATTATTTGCTGTATCTAGCATTTTTTATTTCCAAGGATACCATCATTACTGTTCCTGTGAAGCTCTATAAAATGATAACGTGTCCTCATGCAAGATTTAGGTCTCCCTAATTTTGTGTTAAATTTTTTTTTTTTCATTAAATAATATGCGAGTAACCAGACCTCCACTCTTTAATTAAGGATTTCTTTACAAAGTCAAGGTCAATCTTGCATCATGTGCTGTTTTTTTATTTTACTTTTACTTTTTTCTTCTTCCTCTCTGGCAAGCATCAAAAAATTATATCCGAACACATCACATCACATGGTGATGATTTGTGTTCATCATGTGATGTACATGATGTGATGATGCTAGATAAATGAGTAAATTTTACTTTAAATAGTTGAGTCAATTATTTGTCACTTAAATTAATACAAGTTGGTACAGTTAATTATAATTTATTTATTTTTAAAATAAAAACCCTATGACCATTGGTTTTTGATGTTATTTTTTTTCTCCTACATGTTATGTAATCTTGTTTAATTTATTCCAAAGAAAGGTGGTAAGTGGTCCCATGAAATTTGATGAAACAGTACCAAATGGTATCAATGTCCACATGCAACCCTAATAATCATTGTGAACATGAATAAGCAAGTACAAAAAAGCAATAACACATATGGTGATGGGCCTGCTGGCACAGTACATGTCAATCTATATCTACCTATCCTCGTTACTCAAGTGTATGTCAACATCTATTGCTTGACTCCACTTTCATTTTTTGAGAACTTTGTGAAAAAAATAGGTATAAAAGGGTGAACGTTTGCATAAATTTCTAGACTTTGTAATTGTATATCTAAAGAACTTATGGGTGGTAAAACTTGACACACATTACCAACAAGATTCGAATACTATATGAAATTAGTGAGTTTGGATTGACATTAATCATATTTGCGTCATAAATTGTATCAATCCGTTTAACCTATTAAGTTAATCATGTCATGTTTGTATGTAAATTTAGTACATGTACTTTGAAGTTGAACCCGTTTAACTTGATTAGACCCGTTTAATTAATCATGTTAGATCAACCCGATTAACCTGTAACTTGTTTTAGCCTATTACTATGAACATTTCTATTATTTTCATGAATTGTGTTTTATATTATCTCAAAAAATTTCATTATATTTTTTTATTTTTTATACTTAAATTAATAAACGGATAATATGACTCATTTAAATTAAATAGGTTAACATGTAACTTGTGTAATCTGTTTAATAAACGAGCCGTATTCGTGTTTAACGTGGATGGGTTAGGCCATGGTCGAAAGGCTTTGGACCCATCCCTATCCCTAAGTACTACATGTAAACGGATAACATGACTGATTTAAATTAAACAGGTTAACATATAACTTGTGTAATCTATTTAATAAACGGGCCATATTCGTGTTTAACGTGGATGGGATAGGCCATGGCCGAGAGTCTTTGGACCCACCCCTATCCCCAAGTACTACACGTCCCAAAGCCTAATCAAGCGACAAGAATCTATTGAAATGAGTACTATGATGAACTTAAGAAACGCTCTAACACTTTGTTGCTCATCTTCTACGCAAACAATTATTTCTCTTCGATGCGCATCCCGTCTACGATGATGAATGTGACCATACCACTTGTCCCTACTTTCCTTGAGGTGGAGCTATGACGAAGCATGTGAAGATATAGTCTGATCACGTATTGATTACGTGAATGATTTGAACTAGTTCAAGTGGCTTTGAACCGGTTCAACTATGGCTGCCACAGTTGAACCAATTCAGAATGGGCTGAGTCTGTTTAACTTGTACAGTGAGTTTTTTTTCCTAGAAGATGCTAAAAACAGTTTCCTAATTAGTTTTGGAAACCAGAAGACTTGGGGAAAAAGCTAAACATTTGGGGAATAAGTTGTACCTCTATTTTAAAGTTAAAGACTGATATGGTAACTCCTTGTAAGCAAGTTGATCCTTGCCCAATAAGGAATTGGGTTTTGAAGACTCTATAAATATAGATGAGTATGAGAGGTTTATAGAGAAAAAAGAGAGAAGAAAGAAGAGAGAAAAGGTGCAAGGGGTTTAAGGGTGAGTGTTGTTGTAATGACCCAAATCCGTTGGATGCGAATCGCTAACTGGGTCTTTACTCAAACCCGAGGTCATGCAAGGGTACTATGGTCATTTTTCATTAAATTAATATTTTAAGGCCCAACAAGGGCAAAATAATCATTTACTAAGGTCATCCAATAATTAGGATAAGTCCAGGGGTAATATTGTCATTTTCGTGATTAGAATATAATGAATGTATTTTATTTGGGTTATATAGTGAATACTAGCAACGTTAAATGTGTAATAAGGGTAAAAGAGGGAAATAAAACACAACCTTGAAAAAGCAGGAATTGGTCAACGTGTGAACACTACATGTCGACACGTCGACCGGTTTGGCACAATCGGTCAACGTATGAGTAATTCACGTCGACTGGTTTAGGTCATCCATAGTGAAATTGCTCACTGTTCAAAAATTTTGAGATACCGGTTCACATGTAACCAGACATGGATTTATCCGTTTCTTTTTACCCAAACAATTCCACTCAAATCACCTAAATCGCAACCACTAAATCCCCACCAATACACTATAAAATGCCTCTGAAACACTACATATATATTTATACCCCATGGAATCCACACAAACAAAACAACGATAACATATTTATATACTCAAATAGAATTATTGCGAATATTATTACAACGTTAGAACAATGTTTTGTAAAAATTACAATATGCAATACCATCGCTACCAACTACATACCCCAAAATAATAAAAATTACATTGTCATTAAAATTAATACAATTACAACACGATTGAACTCAAATCACTACAAATAATGAAGATTATAATGAGATCAAATGTCACTTCCTAAATGGTCTACAATGGTGAAGATGAATCGTCCACTCCGTCTCTTCCAAGTTCTGAAAAATGATAACAATGGGGTGAGCACAACGGCTCAGTAGAAAGTGCTTAAAACATACTTCTTAATGATCCCGTGAATCCAAACAAAGAACAACGTATAGAGAAGGGGTCATACTTGTTTTGAGGAAAAACATATATGCACCTTCACATACAATCTACATATAACAAGTGCAACGTTATGCAAGCCAATACAATGAAATGTCACTCACTATTTTCAAAACCTTTACCCAAAATAATTTCCTTTATTCCAAATCAATTTCCCTTTTTCCTTGCCCCATGCCAATGCATAAATGTTACATGCATTTTAATGCCATGAAAATTCATGCTTCTGAACCTCAATTATACAGCAAGCTTAGAAGTGAATTCAATACCACAATTATCATGTTAACACGTATCAATACAGCATTTTACACAAGAAGGTCATAGAATAACGTACATTAAACACTTATCTTCACAACAATTCGCATAGACATAACATTCAACACATTTCATTACATAAAACATAGATGTCATGTTTTAAAATAACAACTTTTGCATGCTATGAAACAATCATGGGGAAATAACTCACATAAACCCAAGGAATTGTGGTTTAGAAACCCCTACTGTAACAACCCGAACCGGGGGTCCGAATCGCTAACCGGGTCCTTAACCAAACCCGAGGACACACTAAAAGTAAAATAGTCATTTTACAATATGAGAGGATAATATGCCCTTAAAATGGTCAAATGAAATTTAAAACAATCATTCTAATCGTTCCATGATGTTCGAAGAGGTTCTATGGTCATTTGTTATGATTTCCCAAAAAGTGCCCTTATTCGGTTCAAGGGAAGTTCCGACACTATTCCATTAAAACAACCATATCTCTCAACATAAATGGAATTTGAAGACACAATTGGTCTCATCGGAAAGCTAACTCAAAATCCTTGAAAATAGACTCAAGAATGACCCTATTTGGGTTCAGAACGAAGAAATTATAGCCGCACGAAGTCAAGTGATCCAGGCTGTCAAACTGTGAAATTCAAAAAGTGTACTGGGGGACT